CAGAATGCCTGCGACATTTCAAAAACTCAGTCAGTACGTGCTTTATCAAGTCCCTCCTAATGAGTACCAGCTGTGAGCACATATCGGGGAAGCCCTAGAAGAGGAGCCTTGCAGAAGATACAGTGAATCTGACCAGAACAAGGAAGTATAGTGAACAGTTTCTCATCTTGTCTTCTTGCCGTAAGAGTCACCTGGCAGGGAGGAAGGCCGGAGGACAAGGTAAACATACAGATTCCCAGGACCTTGCCAACATGCACATTGACCAGGGCCCTAGGGTTTAAGACTCCATAGATCTGGGTCAGGATCTTGGACTCTATACATTTAATAAACGCTGCAGAGATCTTACTGATCAGACAAGTTTGGAAAACAGGTGGGGTGGGGATCAGAATCTGGCTCCAGTTCAATTTGGGCTTTACCATGTAATTGCTGGGTAGCCTCAGACAAGTCACTTAACTTTTCTGGGCCTCAGATCCCTCATCCATAAAATCTAATAATATCCCATTTCAGAGAGTTGTTGCGAGGGTAAAGTGGGAAAACCCATAAAATGTGCTTAGCCCATTCAGAGGCAGCAAGATGGTCTGGGGCACAGCATCAATGCGGCCAGACCATGAGCTTGAGTTTGAGCCATATTGCAAGGGCAGATTGGAGAGAGATAAGGACTTCAAACTAAATACTCTTTGGTGATGGGAATTACAGTTTGACAGAAAGGAAGGACAGGAAAACAAAGGTGGGTCTGGAAAGAGCTTTAGAGGGTGAGATCTGAACAGGGAAAATTTCTGGAATGTGGTCAAGGATAAATAGACTTCAAAAAGATAGGAAAAGCAAACTTGAGATTTCCAAGGGGAGACACCATTTTCTGAGAATAAACTATTTTATTTGATTTCCTTTTAATCCCAAAGCCAAAGTTTAAAGCATTTTTAATTGATCTTTATCTGCCTCATTTATTTAGCAGACTTTATTATTCTATTATACTATACCTGTGCTCCTTCTAGAGCTTACAAAGATGAAAGTGGCAATACCCACCCCAAGGAACTTACTGTGTACCATTGGGCTCAGGCGAATAAGCGATTACAGCAAGGAAGAGTATGAGCGGTACCCAGGGCTGCTGGGTGGACAGCAATTATGCTGCCTGAAGGAGAAAGTAAAACTTCTCAGAGGAAGCCTTGACATAAAGATTCTATGGCAGTTACAACACTGTCATTATCATTATCATAATCATAAGCTAACAGTAATAACAATGGCCAACATTACCCAATGCTTACTTTGAGCAGATGCTGTGAGAGGCCCTTTTTAGGCATTGTCTCCTGTCGTTGGATAGAATGGTTGCTGCATGCAGTACCGTGTTTCACTTCCTTGTGTTTGCACTGTCTGTTTAGGGTTGGTTTGTTTTTTTGTTTTTTTGTTTTTTTGAGACAGAGTCTCGCTCTGTTGCCCGGGCTATAGTGCTATGGCGTCAGCCTAGCTCACAGCAACCTCAAACTCCTGGGCTCAAGTGATCTTCCTGCCTCAGCCTCCTGAGTAGCTGGGACTACCAGCGCCCACCACTGTGCCTGGCTAATTTTTTTTCTATTTTTAGTATAGATGGGGTCTTGCTTTTGCTTAGACTGGTCTCTAACTCCCGAGCTCAAGCGATCTTCCCGCCTCGGCCTCCCAGAGTGCTAGAATTACAGGCATGAGCCACTGCGCCCGGCCCCAGGGTTGGTTCTAATGCCATTGCTGCACAGTTGGTGAATTACAATACTTGCCAGAACATTGATTCTCCCATTCTTGCTCCTTTAATAATACAGTAGAGACATAAGTAAATTCCCATCCCCTACTCCACCGATACCACATCACCAGAGTCCCTCAGAGAAAGTACCCACTGCTTACATACAGCCTGCACAGGGAAGACCTGAATAGTGGGGGTCTTGGAGGGGTTTATGACAACATCCTAGTCTTTATATGTGAAAAGCCCTAAGCACATAAAGTCTAATGTAAAATCATTGTTAAATTCTCCATGGGAAAACATGTGCCCCTGCTGTCAAGGTAGTGGCTAACAATAACAATGACAATAAAATAACAATGATAAGAATATCTTATATTTACTAATCACTAATTATATTATAGACTAAATTATTTACACATACTAACTGATTTAAACCTTATATGTGTAGATGCTATTACCGTCCCCATTTGGCAGACAGAGAAACCAAGGTCTAGATACATGCTTCAGTTGGGAAGTTGAGTACAAAGTTGGGTATAAGTATGGAGGATCAGATTACAGGTAGTTCTAGTTTTGGCAAACCCACCATAAGAGGCTCCACCTCAAAGCATGACAAATCAGCAGTTCCCCAGTGTTTATATAATGAAAATTAAGTTCTTTGGCAAGATTGTCCGCAGTGTGTACCTACTTGTCCCCCTGCATGACACATCCCCCACTCAGGTGTGTCCCATCCACTCCCAGCAAATCACAGATCTTTATGTACTCAGGCTGTGCCTTACCTCTGTGCTTTTCAGCAGTGGTTCCCTTGGCCTCAAATGCACTTTCCCTTCCTCTTCATTACCTGTTTGTCTCAAACTTAGCATCTGTCTTAAGGAGTCACCTTCCCCAGGAAGCTTGTCTAGACTTGTTAAGGGCCCTACCATTGTCCCTCCAGAGCTTGACCACTTCCTGCCTAGAAGAGTGTGGGCTGACTGAGGCCAGGGGCTGCAGCTAGTTCATTTTTAACCCCAGCATTTAAAAGCCCTATGGAAGTATTTATTGATTTTTTGGGAATAGTTAATAAAAGGATCCCTTCAGAGCCTATTTGAGACCACGGTTTGTGATGGTTTCATTAATTTTTGTTGTGCTTCAGAGTTGTGATTCATCGCTCATTGTCTTCCCTTGTTTTTCCCTTACTGCTTAGCACTGCTAGACATTAGGTACATGGCTCTGACAGGAATTAAAATTGATGACTGAGCGTGACACCTCCATTTGCTAAGACACCACAGTTCTGTTCATCATGCTTTACTTTTGTAATCAGCACCCACTCGGCACTGACATAAATCTGTGGTCTTTCCATGAGGATGTCATTTGTTCCTTTTATGTCTTGATTCATCAGATATTGTTGAGAGTGTTAGCTGACTAAGGCTTTTTGCTTTGTGAAAATGTCACCAAATGTACCATGAAGGGGAGGGCACCAGATGTCTGTTTGCAAAGAGAGCAAAATCCTGGTTGTGAAGAGTCAAGAGTGGCCAGAGCTTCCCAAACATTTCCGGGCCTGAGGTTTGGCTATACATTCTTCTTGGGGTCTCATAACTGACATCCACATTCCATTTCAGCCATGATTCTGGAAGAATTTGTCAACTTTACTGCTGATCGGAGGCCTGGAAACTGTTGTTTATTAGTTTTCTCAGATTCGAGCCGAAAATTGAGAGAAACTTGCTGGATAATTTTGACCAAAATAACACATGTTTGTGTCTTTCCCATGATTAACTTATTTTTAAACAACTTTATTGAGGTGTGATTGGCATATTAAAGAGCTATACATAGTTAATGTATACAACTTCATGAATTTGGAGATAAGTATACACCTGTAAAATTATCACCACAATCTTGCCATAAACCTCTTACCACCTCCAAAAGTTTCCTCCCACTCTCTTTATTTATTATTATTTTAAACTTAACTTTTCTCTTCCTTTGAGCTATCAGAACTTTCTCAAGTAGTGCATAGTTGTCAGTGGAACAAATCATTCACAGTTGGAAGCATTATAAACTTCCCGAACCTTGATCAAAAGTCATGTTTTAGTGCTCAACTTAGAGCAAGAGGTAATGAAGAAGTGAGTGTTCTCTGATTTGTAGCAAGGACCAGTGAGGGTGGTGGGCTTGTTCAAGGTAAGAATGGTAATAATAAATACTTAGGGTATCAAGGCAGCAGGTATACTTCAGGGAATGTTATAAAGTGCAGTTTTGCTTTCAGTAAACTTAAAATCAGTATGTAATATGTTATAAATTCTAGGAAAATGTTTGCTTTTTGTCATATTCTTCATTGCATATGAGAGTAAATGATCTACAGATGAAGATAATAGTAAAAATTTAGAGACAGAATAAAAAGAAACAGATCATACAATTTAAAATATTTTATGACTGTTCAAAATATTGATTGATCAAAACCCCCAGCCAATGGACAACTCATTAGCATACAAAAAGACACTTACTGCTGTGGAGATGCCGAGGATTTTAGGAATTTATCAGGAAACAGGGATAAGACCAAATATATATTTCCCAATATCACAAGTAGCTTCACTGGCTTTGGTTTGTTGTGGGCCTGGGCCATGCTGATCCTCTAAGAAAAACCCAGAGGTAATATAATTTGATACGGGGAATCCTGGAGACACACCCTTCTCCACCAAGCCCACATAATAGTTGTATACTTTTTGTAGCTGAGATGCTTGCGAAGCAACCCAGTGTAATAGTTCAAGGTGGAGTGGCAACTACTTTGAGTATTTTCCATTCTTTCCTGTTTTTAATGCAACCTACTACTAGTGTCAATCAAATTATAACTGCCTTTATAAGAGATGAATTTTTGCCTATCATACATCATAAAGTTCTGTGTCTCTCTTGTCCAACTTTCACTTCCCCTCATTCCTTCCCCACTCCCAGGATAGCTCACATGTTTGTTTCTAAAAATACACTTTTTTGACTGAACTGTTTTTCATACTATTTTTAAAGAAGAATTTATAGTCCTCGTTGTTTTCACAAGTAAGACTCAAGTTTGTACTCAAAATGATAAAGGAAGGCATTTTTTTGTTTTTAAATTATTCTCTACTGAGTCTAGGCTTGAGACCAGACATGACTAAGACTAGGTTTTCATTTGCTCTGATTTTTGTGAACAATTTTTAGGTACAATTTCAATTTAAAATAGGAGGATTATTGTGAGGGGGCAGGTCATACTTTATCATTTGAAAATGATGCCATAACAGTGTCACACCAGATGGTTTTGACAGGGATGACTGATGGTTTCCTTCTCTTTCTGTTCCAGCCACAGCAGCTCTCCTTGGCAGAGAATCCCAGAGTCTGCAAAGAGTTAATCCAGCCCTGGCAACAAGTAAGAATTTCAGTCCTTTTGCTTCCTTCATCATTATTTTCCATGCTTAATTAAGCTACTGTCCTTTCTATATTTTATTTTGGATATTGGAAACTGGAAGAGTGACTGAATTGAAATTTTATAGGCAAGCAAAAACATGTATTTTTTCAGGATTTATTTTGCAACTTCTCTGCAAGTCTGTTTCTTTTTGTTTTGCTTATGCTTGGAAATTAAGCAAGGCCAATTTAATGAAGGAGGAAAAAAGAGTAAATGATTTATCATGGATCAACAATTATTTATTGAATTTAAGAAATACCCTCTTTATACAAATTCTATTTAAAATTATTATTTTGAAATATTTATCTAGTGATTCCATTGGTAAAAGGTTAAAGTTGTCTCTCCCACCAAATTACCTTATGCTTCAAAATTCTGCCTTTGTGGAAGCTATCTCTTCTTTTTAAAATGACTTTACACATCCCTTTCTGGTCCTTTGACAATCTCCTCTTTACCCACAAGACTAAAATCAAACATGAGCTCTTTGGGGAAGCTTCTGCAAATTCTCTAGGCCTGAATAGTTTTTCTGCCTTCCGTGTTTTCATGAAACATTGTCTGTCACTCCATGATGGCATTTACCTCCTGACATTTTAGTACGCGTTAGCTCTGAGCATAGAGCTCACTGGATTGTGTGGGTTGCATGAATTAATTAATTATATTGAACTTTAAGGCAAAGCCCACATTTTATTCTTCTTCTAAATTCCTCACATCACCTGAAAGATCCTGATCACATAGTAGGTGGCCTGTTTAATTAAATTCTAGGTGCCTGTTTAATTAAATTCTAGATATGGATCTTTTTTCATCAGTAGAAGTATATATGTTAGAGTCCACATTATGCAATAAAGGAAGGAAAGACAGTGGACCTAATTGAGTTTAAGCTATTGCTACTTTTGTTGGTAATTTAGGTGTCATGAAACCATAATTTGCATTTTATGACTAAATTGCAGAGTAGATTTCTAATATGAGGTGGCCACCTTCCTCAGAGGTGGTCAAAAAGGAGAGTTGGTACTGTTTTCAACAAATGTCATCCACTTGCCAGTTGTGCTGGACCACAAACCCTTTACAACTCTCCTGTTTGGGAAGAATCTGACATGTTAATCTGCTCCCTAATTATCACAAGAGTTGTAAAAGAGGTGGCTGTTTGGGTTATCCCAGCCAATGTATTCCAAAGCCTTCCTTCACTCAACAGACAATGTGACCTATCCTGTTATTACTTTTTGTAAGGAAATGAGAAGGAATCCATTAAGGATGTGTTACTAATGGTGCATGCTTCGTGTTAGAACCATCCTTCACAAGCAAACGTAATATGCTGCCCTCAGCTTTCCCCCAAAGTGGTAATATGATTTCTCCAGGCCATTTCCTTTGTCAGTTCACAGTGTCTGAGGAGCCTACACATTGTGCCGTGTTGAAATATAGCCTATAGGTATGGAGGAGGTGTTGAATGACTTCCTACCCATCAATACTAGTCATTTGGCATATGTTGCTTTCCTGTCTTTGCGATCAGTAAGAAGACTAGCTAATTATCATTCGTATGTGGTAAATCACATTGACACTGACCTCCCCTATCCTTCCAGCTTCTCCTTATCAAAAGTCTCCTGCCCTCTGTCCCAGGAACAATTGGCTATAGTATCCCACGTCAGTGGATGTGTCTGTGTCAGTGGGCACCTGCCATAGTGCATGTGCTTGAACATGTGGCTGCCTTTATCATCACAAGTATCTCATCCAGATGTGACAGACCCAGGTGCTCACATCATCTCACTGTGTCACTGTGTACATTGTGTCAACAGAAAAGAACGCAAACTGTCTAAAATAAAGAGGTTTATTCTGAGCTGAACATGTGTGACCATGGCCCAGAGAGCCATGCCTAAGAAGCCTTGAGCAAGTGGTCCTGTTGTAGTTGGGTTGCAGTTTGGTTTTACACACTTTAAAGAGACAGGAATTACACATAAAGTCGCAAATCAATACATGGAAAGAGTACATTGGTTTGGCCGGAAAAGGCAGGACATCTCAAAGTGGGGCAGGGTAGGGGGTGGGATACAGGTTATAGGTGGTTTTAAAAATTCTTTGGTTTGCAATTGGTTAAAGAAATGAAGCTTTGTCTAACGGCTTGGAGTGTTTTAAGTTAAGATAAAAAACTTAAAAGGCTTGTTAATCAGAGACAAGCCACCTGACATATACTGAGACTCCGAGTGATCTGTTAAGTAAATTGATGACCTGCAGGTGTGGTTTGACCTGTGTTTTACATGGCCTTAGGCCTGTTGATGATTTTGTATCTTATTGTTACAAAGAATAATTCCAAAAAGCGTAACAAGGTTGTGTCTGACCTCCCTTCTTTCTCCTCGTGGCTGGCAACTCAGCTTTAAGGTTTTTCTGGGGTCCCTTGGCCAAGAGAGGGTCTGTTCACTTGGCTTGGGGGCTTGAGATTTTATTTCAGTTTACAATTGTCACTGTATCACAAATACACAACTCTCTGCTGAATACCCAACATTTGTCCCTGTACCTTAAGGGAGAAAAAGTATGATATTGTCCTAACATCAAGAAGCTCACATTACAAAGATAATCGTACATGAAAAGCTTGTGTTCAACATGTCCTGAGAACACACAATTATAATTTATACATCTCCTATGTGTACTTTACTAAATACTCAGATTCAAAACACAACCTCATGAAATAAAAATAAAACAAAAACCCTCTCAGGACAAGTTCTACCCAGAACTAACTAAACGTAAATGAAATAAATGCCACCACCCTCTCCAGGCCACTTTTACTTTATACTTGGCCTGTTGCAATAACCTTGTAGCAACTGCCTCCCTCCTCTCTCCTTCCACCCCCTGCCCCATCTCTCCTTCCTCAGATTCATCTTTCTCTGCCAATAATAATGTTCTCATGCTCTGAGTAACACTAAATATCCTTAGTGCTCTCTCCACTACCTAAATGTTAAACTGCAAACCTTTCCCAAGACACCGAAAACCCACCCAAGCTTGTAAGTCTGGACTAGGTACCATTTCCCAGGCACACTGTTTTCCCTCCTCTGTGATATTGCTCATGTTATCAAATCTTCCAGAACTATCCTCTTTCCACCCCACCCTGCATTCTATAAATATAAATCCTGCTAATACATTAAGTTCAGTCAAAACACTGATGCCCTTAGCCTGAAGCAATTCCCCCCTTCTCCACGCTTGTTTATGGGAGAGGTCATGATATTTCATGACTTGTATGTTTGTTTGCTAGGACTGCTAAAACAAAGTACCACAGACTGGGTGTCTTAAACAACAGAAAGTTATTTGCTCAGAGTTCTAGAGGTTAGAAGTCTGAGATCAAGGGTCTGACAGCGTTGGTTTCTTCCGAAGCTTCTCTCCTTGGCTTGCAGATGGCCATCTTCTCCCTGCAATATCATCTGGTCTTCCCTCTCTACCTGACTGTATCCTAATCTCCTCTTCTTATGAGGTCCACTAGTCATATTGGAATAAGGCTTACTTTAATGACTTCATTTTACTTAATTATCTCTTCAAAGACCCTTTCTCCAAATACAGTCACCTTCTGAGGAACTGGGAATCAGGACTTCAACATATAAATTTTGGGGAGGATACAATTCAGCCTATAACACCACTCTTTTTTTTTTATTTCAGAATATTGCGGGGGTACCAACATTTTGGTTACATAGATTGATTTTGTACCATTTGAGTCAAAGTTGTAAGTGTGCCCATCCCCAGATCATGTGCATTGTACCTGTTAGGTCATAACACTCCTCTTAAGGAATATATAACATGCTGCTTTGGAGTCTAATTATTTGCCTGTATCTCTTATCACTGCATCTGGATTATGAACAGCTGTGTCTTATTCACAGTTGTATATAATTCATAGTACTTAAAATGATACCTTGAGCATAGTAAATACTAAATTATATTGCAAATAAATGAATTAAATGAAAACATCCTTAATATCTCCCTGGTTACCTATCCTTCTCCATACTTAGCAATTCCCACCAGCACCCTTTGTTATCGTGGGGCCTCTTGTCTGGCTAGGACCTATGAAAGAGGATCAGATTTCCCCACCTGTGTTAATTACACATTATTACCTTACGTGTTCCACTGCTGAAAAGACTCGTAGGAATCAAATGATTTATGCTCACAGGACAGTTTTATTACAGGCAAAGAATACAGTATAGCAACAGAAGGGGGATACGTGTTGACCAGGGTCTCAATATCTCCAGTACGGGCCTTTTTGTCTTCTCATTGCTGGTTCCCACAGGGTACACTTTGTCTCCAGATCTGAAACCACTACCCATGTGCCTGCCAAGCACCTCGGTACCAGGAATCCTAAAGTCTTCCCATGGTGGGGTCTCCCCATAGTGAGCTGGTCATGTGGGCACAGTCTAACTATGTGGCCGGCCTTAGCCATCAGACCCCCAGCCCCCAGGTTTTACCAAAATAAGTACAAGTCATAAGTCCAATTATATTACTAAACAATGTTGAGAGACTGATACATTCTGTCCTGAGACAACTCACAGATCCATGACCACAGAACATGATTTATCTTTAGTTAAATATCATTGGCCAAGCATCAGTAGCTCTGGAAAGAAGCATGCAGTCAAACCAGACAAGCTAAAATTTACCCATGCTATGCACCTAAGGAATCACCGCTTGCTGTAATCTCTTCCTTCTTTTGTTTACCAAAAATTATCTGTCCCATTTTCTAAGCCTTCATGGTTTTGCTGTGCTGGCGAAATGGCCTAATCCATGTGAATGGGTGTGTTTGTGTTAATGTGTTTTTGTGTTTGTGTTAGTGTGCTAACATACCTTCCACAGAGTAGATTCTTAAGAAACATTTTCTGGAAAGGAAGAGCTGTTTTTGGTTAGTAACCCCGTGATGACCTTTCAGTTCACATACGTGGATAGCAGCACACTCTGCTCATGCAAGGCCAGCCCAGGGTAAACATGAGCAAAAACACATACTTAGGATAAGA